CCCTAGAGACGTTATATTAAGAATCCCATGTAATAAGACTTATAACTACTTGTTAAAAATGGTGTTCAGTTTGTTTTGATTGGAATAATATAATGTAAATTATGATATAATTTTGTTAATTAACGTGGTTTGATGCCAAGAACGCTTAGTGCTTTTCCTCATTGAATAGTTAAGCTTAACCTTTGAGAAAAGAACCAGCCCTCTTGTCACCAGTCACGGCAATAAGTCTAGTACTTGAACATTTCAAAAATTTCGATATACGATGTCCCCACGGACCCAAGGTTTTAAAGTACCAAAAGACTTAAATACACAATCTGAACAAAGGGACTCATATCTGCGTCATTTACTTTCTTCAGCTGCCCCTGATAGCCGCCCAGCTCTTATATTATCAATTTTATAATTCCTCAAAGGAAATGTCAATTCATGAACGGATAAAAATACCTCCACGTGGCTCTTATCCCTTTTCTGGGTCGTTTTGCCATAGTTGGACTATCATGGCACACGTGTTTTTTTTAAATATTAGTTTTAAGAATTCTTTAATGAAAAATTTCTTTATGGTAAAACAAGATGATGTTTTATGACGAGATTTGATAATGTTGAGACAAACTCACTGGTGACAGCAATAATATCTAATCCAATTCTTCCTGCACTCTGATTTCTCCGCATATCACCTTAACAATAATTTAATTGGCACTTAACCTGTAATTTACTAAATAACTCCTGTGAAATAACAGTTGGCAATTTAGACATGATAGACATAGTATAGTCACCTGTCCTTTCGTGGTAAAGCCACACGGCAGCTTGTGCTACTGTACGAATAGACATCCATGCAAGAAGCAACGCCTCACAGAATTGGATATGCATTTGATGCTACTCTACTGGCTTCGAAGACGATAAACCGCCTGTTTAAAAATCTTATTCTGTCTTTACTCAATTCAATTGGGCTGAAATTACTCCTAACGTTCTAACACAGTATATAGAGCAGTCTCTGCTTTCTAGTCGTTTCCGTCTCTTTTGTTCTAGTGTGTGCCACTTATATGTATATTTAAATCATATAAGAACACAGCGACAGTCAAATCTGGAACAAATACATGCTGCACGTGGAAGTAGGAAATACGACCATCAAAGTTTAATGCTAAGAAGCTGCGCTAAGCTAATCATCAACGTAGCATAATGAAAATTGTAGTACATTTAATATCTTTAATTAGCAGTATTTTGATACTTCCGTTTAATATTGATAATTTAGATCACTGCAGGCAAAAGAATTTTGCATTAAGACCCGTATCAATTACTTTTCTCATTATTCACCAAGACTCTACCTAATTATACTGTGCCAAAATATGTATATGTGAAATAAAAACGCTTCTGAATTTTACAATTAGTTGATGAATCATACGATGATTTCAGGAAGGATCGCAATAGATCTTGAAATTGAAACTATTCAGATATATAATCATAAGTAAGAATGGTCACCTTGAAGTGGGATTCTAATTTACAATTTACATTAACGGTTATAAGTGAAGAAATTTTACATAATTTAAGCAGATATTGAACCTGATAATTTTACGCAATAATTTGAAGATTTTTTTTTCGGAAAGATAATTTTAATTTCCCGGGAAAATGCTCTTTCAAAAAAATAATAATTTAGCACATAGATATTGGGCAAGTGATATCAGAATTAAGACGAGTTATGTAATCGTCTTAAGTCTAATATTCTGATTTTTAGTACGGCATTGATACAATTTTCCTTCACGATAAATCTGTATTAAAACCACGATTGAATTCACATATTTATTGTTAGCACTTATTTCGAAAGTAGCGGTTCTTAACATGACTTTTCTTAAAATGATTAAACACAATTTTCATAAATGAGATGTATCTATTGAATCATGTTGGGCAAAATCTATCATGGACCAAAGTTGAATATACTGTGGTCTCTCTCAAATTAATACATAATTATATGATAATTGTACGAGGAGTATATCCAAAGAAATTAACTGTGGTAGGGCCACGCAACAGCGTTCACTGTTGCACGAATGGGCGGTTTAGGCCGACACTTCTGCGTTTTGTCTGATGAGTGAGGTAGCCGGGGCCCAATTTATTGAAGGGTGGCAACGCATCTACAACCTATGGCTGTTGCAAATGTCCATGGGCGGCGGTTATCACTTAACATCAGGCGAACCGCCAGCTCGTTTATCACTTATGAAAAAAAAGTTCTTGACCGTTTTTAACTTTTTAAGGGTCCAAATGTCGTAAAATTTCCTCTTGTTTTCATGATAGGGCCAAGCTTTGACTGTTGCATCGTAGGCCACAAAGTGAGGTAACCGGAGGCCACTTCTTTAGAGTTGCCAACGCATGTGCAACACGATCAGGTTGTAGACGTTAGGTGGTAATAACTTAACATCAGGTGAGCCGCCTGCTGTTTAACTTTTACAAAAAAAACCTATTATAATATAGTTTATGATTTTTTAAACTTACTCCAATAGTTAGAGATATTTTTAAAATACCACGAATTCAATCAGACTCTTTTTTATATTTACTCTCAAAGTTTTGAATAGGTATGGCATTCATTATCAGGCCCACACAGCAATCGCCTACTTTGAAGTCTGTTGTTGATGCATTTACATTTGCACAAATACTAACCGTAATAAAATCTGTTAAGTAATTTAATTAAAATATATAGCAGCAATATTTGTTTTTCATAATTAACTTATATCACTATAGGTTACACAAACACGAACTTTTTCCGAAAATACTACCGATATTGAAGATTGACTTATTAAAAAAACTTATGCATGTTAGTTTCTTTATCATACTTCTCAACTTTGATAATTATGTCCTAGACATCTGTTTCCAATCCCTTAGCTAATTTTCTAATTATATTAGAAGAAAATCGTAGAAGTTCTAATTCTTTAATCATTTTATTATATTCTCTAATTGTTATTGATAAAAATGCATTAACAAAAGATCCATGTCAAAGCGCACTCCAGTAATAAACGTAATTAAGCAAAAATGTTCAGTAAACCATTATATTTTAATTACTTAGAAGATAATCGAAGTGCTTCAGTCAACATACAATCACTTACATAAAAATTATGTAGAACAATAAGTTCAAAACAAAAATACTTTAAAATGAATATCTCAAATATGATCTTGGACTTGAACTATACTTTTTATAATCTGGTCAATTTCGAAACAAAATTACTATACAATCCCTGAAAAAAACAAAGTCGAACATAAATTAAATATTTCTGTGGAATCACATATTATATTTATATTGTAAGGGAGTATGAAAAGAAGATATAACCAACGCATACATGTAAACGTACTACTATCATCATGTCATTGAAAATCCGAAGTCGGAAATCGAAAACATTACCAAATTAAATAACCCATCGGGAAAAACCTGCAGCAGCTAAACTATTTATCGAAAAAAAATATAGAATAGCTCTAAATGTTTACTTAAGTAATAAGCGCAGTCTTAACCTAATGTTCGCACAAAATAAAATTTGTACAGATTCTATAAATAGTACATTCCAAATGGCCATATCGGTATCGGAAACCATCCACGAATTTTCCCATAACACTATTGAGTCACGATTTTAAAACAAAACTCACCAAATTGTATGAACAAACATTGGATACGTCAATAACTGTCGCCTATTAACGCCCGAATGAAGTCTTTTATCTTTTTAGCAGCTCCCATTTTCTAGTTTGGACGAGTATATTTATTTACGATCGTACGACGCTCGCCACGACACGATGCGGGTGGACTTTGATCTTTATGCCACGGAGGTATGAACTATGCTCCTATCTGTTGGACTGGAAATACAGTATCGTTCATTCCAAAGCCTTTAAGCGGTTAACGGATCTGGACTAGCTCCATGCGCGTATCGTGTTTTTTTTTAAATTCATCTTGTTTTGGGTAACGCCTAACTGCAACTCCGGTTACAAATATTTTGGTTAATATAGATTAATAATAGTGTTAAGGAATTACGACTTCTCATTCACGGGGCATCACTGCCTATCCATTGTTTGAAATTTATCTATTTGCATTTGACCATTGACAATCTTGATCTTATTGAGGTGTACGCCTCATAACACAATAAAATTTCAATGACTAACACTAATTAAATACATAAATATTTAACTTTGCAATTTTTTCATATCCATATAATGGTAAAAATTGTAAAAGTATATTTTGATGGTTTTACGCAACATTCAAAATGTACAGAATTGTACATTGTAGGTTGAAAGTTGTACGTAACAATTTTAATATTACAAACTACTTTCCCGCTTAAAGTCTGTGGCAGAAATAAATACATTCACGAGCATTTCATATAAGGACAGGAATGTTGAAGAACTTGCAGACTAATGATGCGTAATGTAGTTTCTTTTGAGATAAACCTGTCGAGTATTTCCTTAAATAACTATATTATGTTAACTCGATGCATAATATAGTTGTTAAAATACTCTTCACAAAGCTATATATAAGCCTACCAGGTATTACTAGTACACTTTGAAACTTAGTATAATTCAAAAGGTTTTATGATAAATATTTTTCATTGGACTATTAACTATGTTAGTGACTCGTAAACAGGCGATCCTTCATCACTTCATCATTGATTCAGTGGTATATTCAATTAGTATTTAAAGAAGAAAATTGTATATTTCTACCAAATATCAAGCTTAAGTTGTATATTATAAAGTAAGGATTTAAAGTTTGCAGGAGCAGCAGGAGCCGTATTCTTAATATTTTAGTCACAAAATATTAGTGCACACGTGTAGTTTTAAAAAGCATGAGATGAGTTGGTCCTTCAGTTATCTGCATTCAGCTACTCGTACGAGTGGAACAGTAGGCGAGGTAAGTCGTTTCGCTACAATACATAGTTACACCATTGGCAGCGCTGTCCACTGCGTGAGCAGATGCCAGCTGAAATCGGGATTCGCGCAGGGTTACCTTTAGCCTGTATCCTAATCCACCTATATCCGAGATACCAATGGCGTTCGCTAGGCGTCGACATTCGCTAAAACCTCCCCCAATGCGGGTGTTCCCCGGTTTAGGTTTATCCGTTATCCGGAAGATTAGGCGCTCTCTCTCTGGCGGCGGGCGGGGTCTCGCCACGCCCACCGGTCGATCGCGAGCGAGCACGGCCACGGCCGGCTCATTGTGCCGTTATCTACCAGAGACGGAGCACGCTCATCCGGGCGCCACAGATAAGCAAAACACCGCCGCAGGAAAACACGGCGTCCGCTGGCCCCCCAAACCAGCTCTCCTGTACAATCGTATTCAGTACCACCGGTACTGCAGACGATTGTACTCGAATTACTCAACGTTTGATCTATCCACGAATAGCTCGTCCCAGCACACGACTCTTGTAAAAAAATCGTGGGCCATTCATTCGAGAGCTGTAAAGAATTAATGGTGATTTATAACAACCGCAATACCGCACAGAGCGCTGTGCTGTTTCAAGAATAAATTACCGAGAACATTCAACCCATATTCATTCATATTATACTCACATATCGTTATCACATACTAAGTCGGAACAAAAATCATTTACTAAAAAAGTGAGAGTCGAATCACAATGAGTCAATAATGCTAGAAATTTAAAAATAATATGAAGGCTCGTCAAGTATTATTTTTAAAAAACATAAACATGAACCTTCATATTATAAAACTATATAACTCAGATTCTATTGCTTTAACTAAAATAAAACAATATAATCTCAGTTAATTGAAAATACTTTAAGAGAATTAAGTAGGTCGTACTTTCCTCTTTCCCGATATTTTGCGAATAAGAGCCTCAAAGCGTTATCATTGTTAAAATATCAGAGCAAGTTTCTTAAACATAAGATTAAAACATTTCCTAATTCGTTACTCCACCGTATTTCAGAATATATTTGATATAATATGGACCTATCGTATTTTAAATCTATGGTATTTTCTTATTTATTTTTTATAACTGTGTCTATGGTACATTTTTACAGAGTAATGTATATTGTAGGTACGTTATGCTCACCACGTTGGATCTAGGCGACTACGCTGTGCGAGACAATGCAAGTACCTGAGTAGGCGGCGGTGGGAGGTGAGGCGGTGGCGCGGGGGCCTCCCCCTCTGATACGAATTTGTTATCTCGACGAAGTATTACGATGGAAGATTAATTCCCGCGACACGCTAGACCGTTTTAATAGATCCGAAGACCGCCCGCTTTGGAATTTTCAACGTAAGAACGTTCTGCGTATAATGCCCTATCGAATCCATAAAAGTGTCTATCGATAAACGTTGCCTATAATTTAATTTAAATTGCGGTTTGAGTAGCTCATATATTCAAATATGTAGAAAAAGTGCGAAAAGATTGTCGCCGCTGTGGGAATCGAACCCACGTCTTCGGCATTCGCGGCCTGACGCTCTAGCCACTGAGCTAAACGGCTGATGACCACACCGACGAAAATCTTAACGCATTGTTCTACATTGTTTTCTTAGCATTTGAAGCAATGCTTGGCGCCATCTATTGTTATATCCTTTCCAGCATACAAACAATTTCGAATATCGTTTTACAACGATAATTCGAACGAGAGATGTCGCCATTGCTTTTTTAGAAATTTAAATTGTTTATAGTGCTAATCTTTGCACTTAAGATTGAACATTCAAATATGTAGAAAAAGTGCGAAAAGATTGTCGCCGCTGTGGGAATCGAACCCACGTCTTCGGCATTCGCGGCCTGACGCTCTAGCCACTGAGCTAAACGGCTGATGACCACACCGACGAAAATCTTAACGCATTGTTCTACATTGTTTTCTTAGCATTTGAAGCAATGCTTGGCGCCATCTATTGTTATATCCTTTCCAGCATACAAACAATTTCGAATATCGTTTTACAACGATAATTCGAACGAGAGATGTCGCCATTGCTTTTTTAGAAATTTAAATTGTTTATAGTGCTAATCTTTGCACTTAAGATTGAACATTCAAATATGTAGAAAAAGTGCGAAAAGATTGTGTCGCCGCTGTGGGAATCGAACCCACGTCTTCGGCATTCGCGGCCTGACGCTCTAGCCACTGAGCTAAACGGCTGATGACCACACCGACGAAAATCTTAACGCATTGTTCTACATTGTTTTCTTAGCATTTGAAGCAATGCTTGGCGCCATCTATTGTTATATCCTTTCCAGCATACAAACAATTTCGAATATCGTTTTACAACGATAATTCGAACGAGAGATGTCGCCATTGCTTTTTTAGAAATTTAAATTGTTTATAGTGCTAATCTTTGCACTTAAGATTGAACATTCAAATATGTAGAATCTTTTCGCACTTTTTCTACATATTTGAATGTTCAATCTTAAGTGCAAAGATTAGCACTATAAACAATTTAAATTTCTAGCTCATATATTGTTTTATTACACACACAAACGTCTTCGCATTACATACTACAGGTATATAAAAAATTCATGTTTTTTTACTATTGGATTTTTTAGAGATAGGCAAGTTATAGTTACCTATAAATGAGCAAAAAGTTATTTATTATTATTACATAATTGATTATAAAAAGAAATAGGTACATATTTTTTTCCAATAAAAGATTTTTACTAGCGATACAGATTTTTCATTGCTCATACGCGTATTTAAAATAATGTTTTTGAGGACATGGGTACACTTACTAATCGAATTTGTCTTTATTGCCTGATAACTTTATTAAGTAATAGATAATATTAAACGATATTATTTTTTTTTTTTTTTACATATCTGATTTAAAAAGCCTAATGGCTCTACAGTTCTCCTTTTGTAATAAATAAATAAGTGACTTTGACAGCGAAATAAGAGTTATAACGCAAAATGTGATTTATTAGCTAACTTTAAGGATTATATATTTATAATATATGGTTTTCAAGGGAAGCACAAAATTGTATATTAACTCACACAACGATGAAAAGGAGGTGTGTCTACAAAGTATTGAAAATTTACCATAAAATCAATAGCAATTTAGTATAACATATACTTTATGTTATATTATTATGTTTAACATAAGAAAATAAGCAATATAAAATTCACAATCAATCCCACTTTAATTAACTTAAGTCGTAATGTTTCTTTTCTTATCAATTCGATTACTATCCAGAATACACGGGTCGAAGTTTTGCTACACCTTTTTTGAGTTTAGAACTTGCTCTTTCAGACATTCCTATAACAACTTTATTATATTGATATCTTATAAACAAAACTGCCTCGAACCAGTGTCGAGAATCAGACATCTTATGTCGACAAATCTGGCTTAAAACTCTCATTTTACGATTTCAGGATTTTGATTTGTCGTTTCTTAATATATTTAATCTACATGTACAATTTGGTGCATAGTGTATATAATCTCATAACTACTAATTTAACTATAACCTGCCTAAATGTAGTGTATTAAATTATATGAGATTGTATTTTTCGGTCAGCCCCTTTTTTTATGTGCGAATGTGGCAAGCGAGCTGGCGGTTCACACGGTTCACTTATCCTGATGGTAAGTGCCAATCGCCGCCCATGGCCATTTGCAACACCCGCAGGGTTGCTGATGCATATGCTGCCACCTTATAATAAAGTGGGCCCCGGCTACATTTAAGACATTAACTGCTTACGAATATAGAACATGTCTTCGTAGTGATTAGGTAAAATCGTTACAGGATGACCAATACGAATATTATACTGTGATAGCGCAGTTGTTAAGTTTTGGCTCCAGCGCCGGGGGTCGTGGGTTCGATTCCCACACGAGGCGAATTTTTTTGTGACTCATAAATATATAGCTATTTGTTATATTGCGAAAATTATTAATGCTGACTAACACGTGCTCAGAGAAGGACAACACCATGAGGAACAATCATAATAAAAAAAAGAGTTTCGTATGTATGTGAAGTCTGCAAATACGCAGCGGGGTCGCATGGTGGGCTATGCCCTAAAACCGTACCTAATACGCAAAGGAGACCTTAGCCCAACAGCGCGATGTAACTACATAGTTTATAACAAAGTCGTCCCGCTGTCTGTCTGTCACTATGTATGCTTAGACCTTTAAAACTACGCAACGGATCTTGATGCGGTATTCGTTACTAGATAATGATTCAAGAGGAAAGTTTATATGTATAATACATTGTACCCGTGCGAAGCCGGGGCGGGTCGCTACTATTTATATAAGCGGTTACTTATATACACGTATCCCGCTGCTGCTGCAATGTACAGTGGCCAAGTTTACGCTATTCCAAAGAAGGAAATAAATAAATATTAACTGCAAGAATTTAGTATGAAGAAGAGGCGAAAAAGAAATGGCGAAGGCAAAAAGGTCGATAACGGGGATCACGAAACCTCTTACGCCAGTATTTTGACTTGAGTGTTCAAAATTTATTAGACTTACTCGAATCAATAAACTTAATTTCAAATCAAAATGTCTCACTTTCTGAAGCGACAGTAAACCTCACGTTCTGGTTCCAGCAAAAAGACTCATATCCAAAGGATACGAGATACGATGATATAATTTAAACTGTTGCTATAAACTGTTATAAATGTTTTAAACCACTTTGAATCTATGACTTAAATTCACATCGCTACATCGTGTGCGACTATCACGATGTACCAAATTCATCAATTATCCTCAAATAGAACAGACAACCTCAACACGACGAGTTTTGTCAAGCGAACTTGAACCTAATAGGGTGAGCCATTAGCAGGTATAATACCGCCCGTGGTGCTAGAGGGATCAACGTATAGCAAAACATTTTAAGATGAATGAATTGTAAAATTTGAACATTTACCTCAATTTGTTCAAACAATCAATTTTTGATATTTTGTTCTTAGAACAATGAAGTGAATGTAACCAAATATACTAATAAGTTTGTATTTATTAAGATTGTGCGTAGAATACACGATACGAAAATAGATTTGGTAGTTTTAATGTATTTTACATATTTATTGCATACGTCTTACGGATGTCATAAATGTGTATGTAATGCTATTTGTTTGTGTAATGCAATTTTAAAAGTTAGTCTAGCTTTTAAATCTTTATTTGTTGACTACATCTATCCTTATTTAATGGATTATTGGTAAGTATTACTTCCTTTTTTAAATAATAAACGGAACACGATTGTAAAAAGTGTACACTTTTTTATTAAAAAGGCTTAGGTGAATTTATAAAACCATGGTATGTATGAACAATGAGAAAGTAACGTGTAATGATTACATTAAGCCAAAGGCAGAAACATTTTGAAGCTGAAGCAATTAGAATAAAAAAAACAATTGGCCAACGAAATGCATCCGAGACCAATCTTGAAGATCGACGGACGATTTAAAAGTCGCCTACAGAATGCGTCGAATTTGACAAGTCACGGATTTTTTTTCAAGGGCACCAGATTATCTGCTCTCCTTACCCCACTCGATCAATCTTATC